CCCAGGGGGCTTCCAGGACGCTTCGGGAGGCTTCCGAGTGGCCCTCCCAGAGAGCCCCCAGTGTCAAAATGCATTGGTGTTCCTTTGGTTTTTGCATGTTTGTCGGGTTTTCGCGTCTTCGGCTTGCCGACGCGCCAAGACAGCCCAAGAGGGCCCCCGAACCGCCCAAAGACGGCCTCAGATGCCCCCAGGAAGGCGCCCAGACAGCCCAATACGCCCTCATGGCGGCCCAAGAGGCCCCCATGACGGCGTCCGAAGGCTCCAGGAACGGCCCAAACATACCTCCAGAGCAGAGGCAGCAACCGGCATTTCAAGTTCACCGCCCAAAATGACCCCCCGGAGGCCCCACGCGGCCTCCAGCAGGCCCCAAACATCGCTCCCAGACGGCCCAGGGAACTCCCAGGACGCCTCGGGAGGCCCCCGAATTCGGCCCTCCCAGAGAGCCCCAAGTGTCAAAATGTATTGGTTTTCGCTGGGTTTTTGAAAGTTTATCGGATGTCCACGCCGACGCTCCAAAACAGCCCGAGAGGACCCAAATACCGCCCCAAGACGGCCTAAGAGGCCTCCAAGAGAGCGCTCGGACAGTCCAACACGCTCTCAAGACGGCCCAAGACGCCTCCAAGACGGCCTCCAAGGGTTCCAGGAACGCCCCCAGGAGGCATCTATAGAAAAAGTGCAGGAACTTATATTTCAAGCTCACCGCGCAAAAGGACCTCCCGGAGGCCCCGCGAGGCCCCCAGGAGGCCCCAAACATCGCGCCCAGACGGCCCTCGGCGCTCCTAGGACGCCTCGGGAGGCCTGAGAGGCCCTCCCAGAGAGCCCCGCGTGTCAAAATGTATTGGTCTTCGCTGGTTTTCTAAATGTCTTTCGGGTTTCGGCGCCCTCGGCCCCCCGACGTTCGGGGGCGGCGCAAGAGGTCCCAAGGGCCGCCCGCAGACGGCCTGAGAGGCCCCCAGGAGTGCCCAGACCAGTCCAACACGCTTTCGAGACGGCGCAAGAGGCTTCGAAGACAGCCTCCGAAAGCTTCAGGAATGCCTAGGAAAACTTCAGAGAGGCGGCAGGGACTTACATTTCTGGTTCCCCAGCCCCAAAAACACCCAGGTGGCCCCGACGGGCCCCCAGGGGACCCCCGAGAGGCTTTCAAGAGGCCCCAACGAGCTTGGAGCGGGCCTCCGGGAAGTCCCCAGCCGCCCCCAACAGGGCCCCAAGAATGCCCAAGAGGGCCCCAAGATGGTTGGAGACGCCGCCAAACGGACAACACGGGAACCAGCGTTCATCCCACGACCAGGAGACCCCCAGATATTGTCAAGAGGGCCCCAACACTGCTCCAGAGGACCCCAGGATGTCTGGAGACACCCCGACAAAGCGCCGCCACCTCAAACGGACAACACGGGAACCACCGTCAGGTGCCCTCTTGGCATCTCACTTGCAACGCACGGACCTATCAAAACTGGTGGCCCGCATGCACGCTTTTCTTTGCAGTTCACTTGCTCGCAAGCCACGCGTCCCCCCACAGTGGCTCGCATGGCCACGTGCTGAGCTCACATCGCAGGAGCCCCCATTTGTCCTCCAAGGTCGGGGTTCGTGGTAATATCATGTGTTTTGTTCGGCCAAGCGCTTGTTTGCGCGACCTTCAGCGGTTAGTGAAGTTACGCTTGCTTTGATAGCCGCCGTCGCATTGCTATGTGCCCAGACTTGTGTTTTAATGTTTCGCCCTTGCGAATTGTATTGCTTTTCCTGGTCGTGCTCGCATCGTCGTTCTTCGCGGCCGAAATGTTTTCGACTTCGTTCGTGCCAACCGTGCTGCTCGCGCCTCTCTCGGAGTAGCCTAATTGGGCATGAAGCATCGCGCGGGCTCGCGTGCTTTCGCGATCAGACAGTTGCGCTTCTACCAACGCTACGCCACTCATTTCTAGTTGAAATCGTTTATTTTTTGATTGGCGTTTTGTCGCCGAAAGCTTCGCCAGTAGAATGTCACTACTGACCTGATGTTCTGCCAGCAGGTCTACCTCGAGCAGTGGCTTGGAGGTCGAGATGCGCGCCTAGAACAGCCAGCGACAGCGCGCAGCTGGAGGGCGAAGTGCTCTACGAGCTGCCTGGACACCATGTACTTGTCGACCAGTGCATGGCGGGATTGGAAATTCCAGGAGGAGGCCTAGCTCGCAAGTGGACTGGAGTTCGCTCTACACGACGAGGAATGGCAAAATGACTATCAGTACCAGTGCGACAAACAGCATGAGCATGTCCACCTGGCGGGCAATATTCCTGGTGCCAACTTGCACCCCGCGAGCTTCGCCGAGAACTATGGGCCCCTGTTGGCGCAGATCCTCAGTGATTTGTTGGAGCAGCCCCACGTTCAGGACACGGACATCCTGGTCTTGGGTATCGAGGAAAGCGAGGGCGCGGTGGAGCACATCTACCATGCGACGGTGGACGACAGCAGCAATGAGGCGAAGGAGACGTACCAAGACAGGCAGCTGAGGGGCGAGTTCGGCCAGAATGTGTTCAGGTACGTGGAGCGTCTCCACAAGAGGCCAGGCCACCCCAGCACGGAGGTATGCATGCGGATGCTGACGACAGCGGATGCGAGAGAGGAGGTGATAGCCCGTGCGCAACGGTACTTGTGTGCGATATGCGCAGAGCGGAAGATGGCATCGCAACCACCGAAGTCGGCACCACCATCATCCATCATGGAAGACATTTAACCAGGGTTTGTACATGGATTTCTTCGAGTTCAATATGCGATCAGGCTCGGCGAAGATCGCTCGCTTACTGGATGGAGCTAGCCGCTTCCAGAAATGCAGGATCGTGGCGCGCGAGGCGACAGCCGAGGCCATCAAGTCCATCGAGAAGGAATGGATCAGGCACTGCGGCACACGAGGCCCGTGATGGACGAGCGTGGCGCAGCGCGCAGTCAGGAGATGCTCGACTGGACCAGTGACCAGAACATTAAGATGCAGACCGCCCCCGGGGAGGCTCACCATGTCATGGGGCCAGCGGGGCGAGCACATCAAGTGATGCGCGAGACGCTGGAGCTCTGGTTCGAGGAGACCGGCCTGGAGCGCACCACCGAGAACTTGCAGGCAGCGTTGGACTCCGTGCCCAATCAGATCAAAAGGACGATGCATCGCAAGGGCTTGAGTCCGACGCAGTGGGTTCTGGGCTACAATCCGGAGCTCAACGACCCCTGTCCGCGGACGCGCCGTCCGCGCTGGCGGCAGAGGCCTACCTGGGGGGGGGGGGGGGGCGTTCCAAGAGGCGATGCAGCGGCGAGCCGCAGCGGCGATGGCATTCATCAAGGCGGATTCGACGGAGAGCCTTTGCAGAGCATTCCCGCGCAAGAGACGTGACATCCATGAGGCAGTGAGCGGGTGGCGAGGGCTACTACGGGCGTGATCGTGGAGCTAGCAGGCCTCAAAAGTCACGCTGGAGAGGGCCGGCCACAGTGGCGCTACGCGAGGGCGCGGAGCGCGGCCAGCCCAGGATCTATTGGGTCACGCACGGCGGGAGCCCTTTGCGGTGCAGCCCAGACCAGGTCAGACCCATTGTGGAGCGAATCGGCGAGCCTAGACGACCAGCGAACCTACGGGCAGCGCAGATTTTCTACAAGGACTACGACGCGGAGGTATCGCGCAGTTCTTCGACATCAGCCAGTTGCCCGGACCCACCGACGAGGACCGAGCAGACGAGCTGATTGAGGAGGACGAGCCAGCTGCTACAGTTGGAGGTGCACCGACGGCGGGGCAGGCCATGGGCGGCCAGCCCGGGCAGGTGTCTGCCCAGGGTTTCGAGCCGCAGGTCGAGCCAAGGCCAGCAGGCACCGAGGACCCGCCACCGACGACGGACGACACGGCGATTCCGGACGATGATGACATGGAGTTACAACAACAGCCAGTTCAAGAGCAAGTACCAGATGCAACAGAGGTTCGAGCAGCACAGACGGCGCCGGCTCAGCCAGCGATCTTTGACCCAGCAGCGAGGTTCAAGGAGATGCGGAGGAACATCGATGCATCGGAGATGGCTCCAATGAGGGCGTTCGCGGCGCATCGAGATCGGCGAGACAGTTGGGCAGGACCCTACGACAAAGTGGAGATCCAAGAGGATGTAATGTTTCTAGACTTGGACGCGCTGCCCAAGGGCTGGAGCTACAACGCAGAGGACCAGGCGTTCTTCCTCGACTACGAGGAGTGCTACTTGGCTGGCGAGCAGGGCGAGAAGAACATGAACGTGGAGGACAACGCCAAGTTCGCGGAGGCGAAGCCCGCGGAGTTGCAGAGCTTCTTCGGTAACCAGGTTTGGGAGCAATATAAGAATGAGGTCAGCGACCCCAACGAGGTGCTGCGCGCGAGTTTCCTATTGAATTGGTCGAGAAACGCCGACGGAAGCAACGGGGCCATGGCCAGGCTGGTTATCCAAGGGTTCTGAGACCCAGGCGCGATTGCAGGGGAACTGGCCAAATTCTCACCGACGATGACAAGATTTAGCAGAACCTCCATCGCGATGCTCGGCTGCATTCACGGTTGGGCCCTGTTCGCCGCGGACGCCAAGCACCGCGTTTTTGCAGGGCAAGCGCTCGGATCGTGGGATTTCTGTGTTTTTGCCGGCGGAGGCGTGCAGGATGCTTGGCTACCAGCCGGGCCAGAGGATGAAGCTACTCATGAGTATGCGCGGGCTGAGCGACGCACCGAGGCTTTGGTCGGAGGAAGCTACCGACCGCATGATTACGCGTGGATTCGTGGTTCACCCGCTGGACCCCTGCCTGTTCCTGCGCCACCGCCTGGGCGCAACCGGCGCTGGTGGGCGCCGAGGCTCTCGACGACGCAGCTCAGATGCCACGCGTGCGCAACTTCGATGACAGGCGGCCGGGTATCGAGGTGCAAGTGCTGAAGGAGCGCGCGACGGCGAGTGCCACGGGCTGGCATTGGGTCAGCTCAGAGCGACAGTTCGCAGACGGCTTCACCAATTCCAGCAGCCAGACAGCTACTGGCCGTTCGACTCAGGACGGGGGCGATCAGCCTGAAGTTCGATGAGAAGTTCCAGGCGGCGAAAAAGAAGACGGCCAAGGACCAACAGGAGGAGGCCAAGAGGTTTGCCACGTCAAGATCGAAGACGAGTGCGACAGCAGCGACGGCGACCGCGGTGTCTCTTTCGAGGTCAGCCGCAGCCAGCGAGGTGACGATCTATGACAGTGATATCGAGACGGCCCTGGTGGAGTTCGAGTGGACCAAGAGCCCGCGGATAGTGATCAAGATGCCGCTGAGCACGTTGGCGCAAGGAACCTTCAGCATGATGATGTCGTTGATGGTCGCAGCGTCCATATGCTGCGTGATCTGCAAGGTTTCGCAGAAGGCGACGAAGGCCCCGGACGCGCCAGAACCCGAGCCAGAGAAGGCGAGGGAACAGACCAAGGCCCAGAAGGAGAGGATGATGGAGCTGAGCGCCATCATGTGGGACGTCGGCTGCCTAGGTCCCGTGCGCTGCGCGAGCGTTGGTCTACCGGATGGACACTGCGGACAGCGCAAGCATGTGACGAACGGTTTTCGACGAGGCTTGGAGATTGCCCGCGAGCTGCACGCGGCGCAGCAGAAGCCGCGCAGTGAGTGAAGGCGCCCCAGCAAATAATGATTTGCATCCTGTTCCAGTCTCATTTGTTCCCCCCCCCTTCCTTGCAAAGGAGCTCTTCATTTCAGCAGAGGTTTTCTTGCGACGCGGTGTCTGGCGCAGTTCTCTCGAGCGCAGCTGCGTTGCTCGATTTACTTGCGATGGTATGCTATCAGTTTCGCGTGAGCAAGGTGAGAGTTTATACGAGTGCTCATTCCGTTGCTCACCGGTGTGTATTGGACTCCACATAATGTATGTTTTGAGGATTCTGACAGAATGTTGTGATATCCAGTGTCCGCACATCAGAGAGTGGCGGCGCGTTTCACCATTGCCATTTTGAGCTCGAGAGGCCTCTCAACTGACCGAAAAGGTTACCATCGCCACCCCCCGCCTGCAGAGCATAGTGAGGGGGCGTGTTCAAAAGTTGGCAGAGATTCGGACTTCGATTCGAGGGGGGCTGGAGACTTCGAGTGCTTCGACGAGTTCACAGGACCCCCTCGCCCTCCTACTATTGGCGGCGGTGGCGGTGGAAAACAAGCCCACCAGTTGGAGGAGGAGGTCTGGGCGGGGGGGCTGGTATTGAAGGCGGTGCTGAACATGCAGATGTCCCCGAGGTTTTCTTGTACTCCCCCCATATGCACATGCTGGAGCTCTTGCGTAGTTGCGCAGGGCGAAATATGACCCCCTCGAGGTGAGCATGGCGCTGGGGGGTTCGCGAGACAACGTCGGCGCCTCCGAACGGACGGCGATCGGACGAGATGCATGCAGCAACCGGGATGAGAGATATGCATTCGTGTTGAGTGGAGCCCGCGCGCGCGGAGAGTCGATGGGAGTGCGCGGGACAGCGCGGGGCCCATCCTGGAAAGTTGATATCCGCCCCCCGCTCCCCTGTTGGACGCGGGCCCGATTTCTTCCAGCGCCCCGTCTTCCAGTGCCCCGTCATAATATAACATTTAAACGGGGCAGAAATCGGACCCGCCGTAAAACATGAGGCCGGGCGCGGACCCAGAAAATCCGCAGTCGCATCCGCGCGGACAGAAATCGGATCCACCAGAACACAACCAATACCAAAATTGGGTCTGCGCAAACATCATTGGGCCCGGGGCTTTCGTTCTGAGCCCAAGAGGAACAATCTGTCGCCTGGGGGAGGTCGGCGCCTCTTGTCGGTGCCCTTTGGGCGTCGGCGTCTGTGACAACGCTCTATTCAAGGCTCGGGGGCTCCTCGTGCCCACTTGGGCGTACTTGAGCAGCGGCTTTGCGGAGCCACTCGGGGGCCAGTTGGTGTTAGACGCGGAGGTCGTAGCGGTGGTCTTCCTGGTGATGGTCGCGCCGCTGCGGGCTTGTCGGCTTCATCGGTCTGCGCTTCTCCTCGGGGCCTCCTGTGCGATTTTATGTGGCTTTGGTGCGCTTCCTGCTGTCAGGGGTCGGTGTGCCTGTTGTCGTGTACCTCTCCGCTTTGCCTCTTGTCAGCAAGCAGGCCCTTCGTCGTGCGGGCTGGCAGATCCGCTGCGGCGCCTCTGGCGATGTTGAAGTCAAACATTCGCTGGCGAGTCGTTGGGTCTTCTTGGCCAGGTGCCTCTTGAGCGTGGCTTCGACTGCGGCGTGGGGGCACTTCTGGGATTGACGGGATTGATTCGGCATGGCTCGGCGGATCTCACAGCCGTGCCGCTGGCCAACCGCAGGGCGGGGATAAGGAGCTCGCGTCGTGGATCCGCGTCCGCGCTCTCGCCTTGGCGTAGCTGCTGGCGGGCGGATTTCACAGCCGCGCCGTTGGCCAGCCGCACAGGGCCCGTTTCGAGTCCTCCGATTCGATCCGATTCGATTCGATTTCGACGGGTTCCGAAATGCGATTCTATAGGCTGACGCCACATCCGCCGACCCCTATATAAACTATTGCGTCTCCAGGACTGCATGTCACGAGGCTTGTCCGAATTGTGGCGCGGCGCTCGACATCGTTCCTGTTGCTTTGTTGCTGTTATCGTATCTCTTGGTGCTCTTATGCGGCCTTTTGGTGGCATCTTGGCCTGTCTGCAGGCCATATCCGGCCGCCTCGAGGCATCTCTGGCCAAGTTTTGGGACCTCTCGGGGGCTTCCTGGGGGCTTCTTGGAGGCCTTTGAGGTTCTCTTGGGGGGCCCCTCAGGGCCTCTTGGTCTGTTCTTGGAGCGCTGGGGGCGTCTTCGGGCCGAAGGCTCGAGAAGGTGCCCTGTGCGCTCCGTCTTGGAGCCGTCTGGGGGCTTTCTTCCATTGTCCTGGAGGCTACGGGGGCTGTTGCTGGACCCTCTTCGGCCCTTCTTGGGGGCCCCTTTGGCAGTCTGGGAGCGATGTTGAATGTTTCTCTGCCCGTCTGGGACGTTGCGAGAACCGAATAGGCGAGCATGCGAAAAATGATTTTCTGTTCTGAGGGAATGGGGGATTTGTTTGGCCCTTTGGCGCGCTTGTGGCCCGTTGTGGGGGCGTGTTTTGCGAGCGCCTTGCGCGCTGCGCGCCCGGGCGCGGGGTGTCCTTCTGGGAGGTCGGCCTTTCGACCCGCAACCAAGTGGGGGAGCGCCGGAAGACGGAAGGATCAAAAGTAGCCTGCGGAAGCTGTGATTAGCGAGGCATCGCCGCGAAAGATGTGGCAGATGAGTCGAAACGGGTGAAGAGGCTGTTGACGTTCGCAGCGCGCGCGAAACAGTTCGCGCGGCAGCAACGCATTAGCGCCGAGCAAGATAGTGAGCACGTCGCGAGGAAGAGTAATGCTGTATGCGCGGAGTGCATTGCAGTTGGCTTGACGGCTCGCAATGCGAAAGCGTCTGGGGGTCTTTTGGGGGCCTCCTGGGGGCCTCTTGGGGGCTCCTCGGGGCGTCTTGGCGGCCTCTTGGGGGCCTCTGGCGGCCTCTTGGGGCAGTCTTGGGCGCCCCTGGGGCTCGTGGGGGCGGAAAGCTAGATTTGTAAATTTTTGGTTGCCCACTTGGGCCCCTCTTGGTGCCGTCTTGGAGCCTTCTTGGGCCGTCTTGGGGACCTCTTGGGCCTTCTCGGGGCCATCTTGGGCCGTCGTGGGGCAGTCTTGGGGGCCTCTTGGGCTGTCTTGGGACGGTTTTCGGGGCCTCTCGGGCCGTCTGGAAGCATCGGAAAGGCCAGTAGGCGAGTTTCTGAAACAAATGCGTTTTACGAACGAAAAGGGCCATTTTTCTGCGTCGAGGGACCCTCTTGGGACGCATCGTGGAGGCCCCTTGGGGGCGTCTTGGGCCAGCTGGAGGCCATCTCGGGTGTCTTCGATCGCTATCTTGGACCGTGTGGGACCATGTCGAGCTCTCTTGGGAACCACTAGGAGCGCTCCTGGAGCGCTCTTGGGGCCGTTTTCGGGGCTCTCTTGGGCCGTCTTCGGCGCCTCTTGAGCCGTCTTGGCGCCCTCTTGGGCTGTCTGGGGGCCCTCTTGGAGGCTTTCTGGACCGTCTTGTTGCGGTCTTGTGGGCTTCTTGGGCGCGTCGGAAAGCCGGAAAGGCGAACTTGTGAAACAAATACGTTTTACGTAGGGAACGGGCCAATGTGTTGCGTCTGGAGGCCGTCTTGGGGCGCATCTTGGATGCCTCTTGGGGCCTCTTGGGGGCATCTTGGGCCGGCTGGAGGCCACCTTCGGTGTCTTTGATCGCTCTTGGACCGTCTGGGACCATATTGAGCTCTCTTGGAGGCCACTTGGAGCGCTCCTGGAGCGCTCTTGGGGCCGTCTTCGGGGCCCTCCTGGGCCGTCTTGGACGCCTGTTGGGCCGTCTTGGGGCCCTCTTGGGCTATCTTGGGACTCTCTTGGAGGTTTTTTGGGCCGTTTTGGGGCGGTCTTGGGGGCCTCTTGGGCCGTGTGGGAGCATCGGAAAGCCCAGAAGGCAAATTTGTAAAACATTTACGTTTTACGAAGGGAATGGACAAATTTTTGCGTCTAGGGACCCTCTTGGGACGCATCTTGGAGGCCTCTTGGGGCCTCGTGGGGACCTCTTGGGCCGTCTAGGGGACCTCTTAGGCCGTCTTTGGGCCATCTTGGGCGTCTTGGAGCGTTCGTTTGGCGTCTCGGGGCCCTCGTGGGCCGTCTTGGAGGCCTCTTGGGGCCTTTTTGGACAGTCGTGTGGGCCCGTTTTTGCGCTTCTGGCCCGTTTTGGGACCTTTTGCTCCCCCATGACGCGTTCGGTCCTGGGTGCCCCGGGGCCGGGGGGGTGTCGAATCTCCGGTTTGGGGTCCCTGGGGGGGTATGGGGGGGGGAACTATCTCACACGCCTAGAGACCCACAAGGGGTCGGCGGACTTTGACAGGATGTCTCGAGCGAAACGCTTGTCTCCAGCACGTTCCGTAGCGCGTCCCCTTGGCACGTCCCGCGGTGCGTCCCCATGGCACGTACCCTGGCACGTCGCTTGGCGCGTCCCTTGAGACGTTCCGCGGCGCGTCCTCCTGTCATGTCCCCCTGCCAACTAGCTCTGGGGCAGCTACTATGTGTTCAGGCAGCTTGAGCTTAAGATCCAGATCAGTTCGGTCAGGACTCGGATGCAAAGGAGGACTCGATCCCCAACACTATAGAGCACAATCGCGGTATGGCACATTGCAATTCGGCGCGACGCAGCACAGCACAGACTTCGGCACGGTACATCAAAATCGATATTCTTAGCATTGCAATTTGGCACGTTCCTTGACACGTTCCGTGGGGCGTCCCTTGGCGAGTCCCCTTGGCACGTCGCGTGGCGCGTCCCCTGGCACATTTTGTGGCACGTCCACTGGCACGTTCCGTAGCGCGTCCCCTTGGCACGTCCCGAGGTGCGACCCCATGGCACGTCCCGTGGCACGTCGCCTGGTGCGTCATTTGGGATGTTTCGCGGCGCGTCCTCCTGGCATGTCCCCCTGTCAATTAGCCCTGGGGCAGCTACTATGTGTTTAGGCAGCTCGAGCTTAAGATCCAGATCAGTTCGGCCAGGACTCGGATGCAAAGGAGGACTCGATCCACGATGCTATAGAGCACAATCGCGGCGTGGCATATCGCAAT